TTCCAGAGGGAATCGCATTCTCCAGCCTAGCATCCCCAAGGAGCAGAGCAAAATCAGAGAATCGGAGGGAATTGCATTCTGAACCAGATCTCCCCTGAACGATTCCCCACTCTAATCTGTGAAAATTGAAGACTAACTTTGACCCTCCTCCTCTGGCCGCAATTCCACGGCCAAAGAAGGCGCCGTCCAGGGGAGGAGGAGGTGGAAGCGAAGGTCAGAGCAAGGGTCGTCAGTCGTCGTTGGCGGCCAGCGATTGGTTGGGTTACCTGGTGAGGAAGAACTTGATGGACTGCGCGATGGCGAAGCCGAGCAGCGCGGCGACGAGGGGGAAGTTGTGGAAGACGGCGAGGTAGGAGAAGCCCGGGGCGGCCGCGGCGGCCGGCGGCGACGAGGAGGCGGCGGCGCCATCACCACCACCACCGTCCCCCATGGCTGGTTCCGTTTCTTTCCTCCCGGACGGACGGTCGGACGGCCGGCTATTCCCGGTATGGAGCGCTTACTTGTAGCGATCCCCCTATATACCCGCAGCACTAAATTTATAGCCTTCCTTCCCTCCCTCCCTCCTACTCCAAAAAATTATGTGCGCCCATGGGCGGCGATTCGCCCTACTTATACCTCCCCTTTCCCCCCTATCTCGCTCTAGAAATTAATTAAAAAGGAAACTGACTAATAAACTTGCTCTGCCGAGTGTATTTTTGAACTGGGGAGGTGATGCTGACGCTGCCGGAGATGATTGGGTTGGGGGGTCGGGGGTGGCATCGCAGGGGAAGCGGCCGCAGCTGATGCCGATGCCGATGCCGGTTGGCGGGTCAGGGGTGGGGTGGAGGCGAATATGCCCGCCCGGGGCCGGGGCGATGGGGTTGGAGTTGCATGTGGCGCCAATTAATTTACAATCAGCTCGAGGTTTTGTCCGGTGGCGGCGGGCGGGTCCGTGATTAATTAGCTTATTATGGCCTTTTGTTTGAAAAAAAAGGACAGGCAGACAGGCAGGCAGGCACGCTTTGCGTGACTTGGAGAACGACTCAACGGAACGGTGACCTCGGCCGACGGCGACGGTGCCAAGGTGATGATGGCATGGCCCGCCCCAATCATGGGATCCGCAGCGTCGGCCGGCTCTCACGGCAACTGCATGAGCGGCCGCTGTGAGAGCCGGCCAGGAACGCGTGCCCCTATCTATTGGGACCGCGCCTTGGCGCAAGGGCGCCGGTCCTAATGTTTTGTTCAAACAGGTAATGCTAAGTTAGTAGTAATCCAGATTCTGGCGCTATATTTTTATTTTGATGCTGACAGGTGGTGTCTGGCTCGACACGTTATCCAGATGTAAACAAAGTACAAATCTTTGCAAGAGTAATCAAATATGAGATCGTCTTTATAGATAATGTAACTGTTGCCAACATATCTTGGCGCATTGTCTGGTCCATCCCATAGGTGCAGCATGCCTAATTCTAAATAATGACATAATGCCAGATCCAAAATAAAAAAGAGCAAAGTAGCTACCTATGATAGATTGCTATTTGATTGGACAGCATAAAGACCCAAGGAAGGAATAGTAATAGCCCATGTCAATAGGGTCACAACTATACATTCATTACAGAGGATAGAAGGTTCACAATTATACATTCATTATAGAGGATAGATGTTTAATATAACAGAAGCAAGTCAGAATCCAAAATAACAAAGAGCAGAGCAGCCGCCCTTTGATAGATTCTATTTGATCACAAAGGCATAAAGACCCCATTCATAGCATACAAATGGTTGTGCACAACAATAAATTCACTACAATATACCAAAAGCAAGAGATACGTCATAACAACAGAAGTACATCGAAAGGTGTAGCGGATGCCGATGCGTCTTAAGCTCGTAGCAAACACGCAACTTCCCATGCAGAGTATATGTCTTGCCAAGAAGAGAAAAGGAGGTGGAGCATCACAATACATAATTTATAAGACTAAAGAGGACTACAATATCACAATAATTCGAAGGAGCAATTGTGCCTACTCATGATCTCAACAGATGCGACTTTGATACATATATTTCTTCCATCATTTTTATATGAATAATCACGATCTTAAAATTATGTCGGTGCAGTTTGGTTATAATCAAATCAATCAACCAGCTATGCAAGTATGATAGTTATCAACAAAGAGCTACTAAACCCAAGGTATAGTCAACCTACAGGATAATTAAGGCCCCGGCTTTGATTAATGTAGTAGCCACGACCGACAGCCATGTCAACAACAATTTTCTACTTGATCTCCTAAAGAGTCCTGGTTCAATGATATAGAAAAGGTTACACATGTGAAAACTAACACCTTTTTAAATTAAAGCATGGGGTGGTCATATTTCACATACTTGTAAATTGCTTTCATATCATCTAGAATCTCTGTGATCTTTTGGACAGAGACAACTTTGTAGATAGTATTATTTTTCAGGACAGCAGACCAGATATACAGTTCAGTAGTGTGTCGATTCGTTTCAAAGGATGCAAAGAACAAACTGCCGAGTAGGGTGGCTCACCCGCTGCTGTAGGCGTTGCTTGGAGGTGCCGGCAAATGGACGGGTTGTATTGGCCACCGGATCTAGCGCACGCGCAAGCTCGACGGGGAGCAGCGGTGCGAGAGCTTCGATGTCGCGGCGGCTCACCTCTTCCTCGTTGGGATCCTCAGCGCACACCTCGTCTTCCGCCGCCAATAGAGAACTACAGACTATACGTATACAATGTGATTGGCAAGAGCTAATACTAAGTAGGATTAGTTAACTACTTTGATAACCATCACAACTTGCCAACGTTCTTAGACTATCCAGATTTCTGAAAGTAAATACCATGTGTAATTCATATAAATTTGCATCACCCAGAAATCTTTGATGTGTCCTTCAAGAATATTAAAGCGGCTGAACTGGGCAAGAATCTTCCTTCAAGTACTTCCAGAAGGAAGATTTCAATAGCAATCTTGGAATAGTTCTGGTGTGATATATTTGAAACCTTCAAGCACCATTTTTGCTAATATAACTGAAAGCTTACCAAGAAGAAAAATACTAAAATCAACTTAGGTTGCCAGTCAAATGTACAACCCAGCCATGATTATTTTTGTAGCAGCACAAAGAACTAAAAGGTGCCACTTCCATGCAGCCAATAATTTTAAATTAGATGCCCAAAACATATGTGGATTAAACTTTCTTAAAATAATGGTGATGCAAGCCTTCCTAATGCGGTTGCGGCATGGCTTGCTCGAATTCTCGCTTCTGGCTTACCTCCTCCAACCAGTTAGATTTATCATTTTTCTTCATTTATAAATACCCATAGTGACACAACAACATCTCGACTATGCTACAGCTATCACAGTGGTCTACAAATTACAGATTCATATATGTATTTTGTTGTCGCCTCAAGTAGTTTTAGATTAAAATCCTGATCCAGAACTACAGCTAAACTGGAGCGAGCGGTAGATTTCTTAGTCTGGTAATCTGATTTGGTAGTGCTTATACATCAAAAATTTGTTTATCGACAGAAAAACTATGTTATGCATTATTTACAAAAAAAATTGTTTTCGTATAGGGTCAGAAATACATTTCAGCATCCAAAGCAATAAGAGAGAAATAATTTCAGTATAATCAGTACAGAGCAACAATATCTGAACTTCTTGTCAGTCAAAAGTAATAATATATGGAGATAATCTATCTTGCATGTGGCGCAACATTAAATTTAGCAGATCTCAAAACCAGACATGAATGTACTGAGTATAAAGGACATACCAGAACCATATATGAAGTAGAAAGGAAGACGCTGGAGTGACAAGTGGGTTCGAGCTAGGCACATTTCAACTTTCTGTAGTTAAGCTGGAAAAACACCATAGTTGTTCACCATTTATCATCAATGGAAAGCAGCCATATGCAACGCAGGAATCATAAACATAATTGTTCATATCCATAGACAAATACAAAGAAGAAAAATATCAAAGGAAAGCAACCGTATGAAATGCATATCACAAGACACGGGATTTCGGTCAAGTGGCTTTCAAGGGACCTCCATTGTGCAAAATGATAAGGAATTGAGCTTGACATATGAGAGAGAGGGAGAAGGAGAAATGGACCTGTAGATCATCAGCAGTACGATGTCCTTAACGGCACCATCTGGTACGTGTTTCTTTCTAGCCAGTACCTCACCAGGTAAGGCAAGTCATGACCTTGTCCGGCTCTAGCAGCGACCTGCAAGCCAAGAAAATGGAAAGATCAGCGGTCACACACACAGAGGCTTTGTAATGATTATTGATTAGAGTCATTTCTAATTAGGTGGCTTCGTAATGGTTATTGATTAGAGTTATTTCTAATTAGACAAAACACTCAACCAGTACAGATTTTTTTCAAATCTGTACTTTTAAGAGGAAAAGGAAGATCACTCAACATATCATTATATCATAATACATTCTCTCATTGGTGCACAATACTCTTTTAAGACAGAACTCAAAAAGTCAATGGTCAGGCAAGATTACCGTTTAGAAACCATCGAGAGATTAGCCAAAACTCAATAGTATTTGTTCTGTATAGGCAGCAAATAATAAAAAGAATTCCGCGGTAGTTTTAGTTTTGTTTCCCACAGTTTCTATGCGGGCTGCCAATACAATAGTCAGCGCGTGAGTGGCGATCCTGATGGGGCACAGAAGAGCAGACACAGAGAAACAGAGTAACAATTTAAAGCTAGAAAATCCCGTGAGTGACTTTCATAATGCAAAACCGTTGGAACTAAAAACACATGTTATAGTTTGAAGCAAAGAAGCAACATAGGCATCAGAGCCATCATTGTTTTAATTACTAAAGTGGCGTCAAATAAAGAACCCACAGAAATGGCACACAAACAATTCGTCAAGCGGCTTTGGCTCATCACACTCGGTCGCCAACACGATATTAACCCTGAGGTATTATTTTACTTACATTCTTAGTGAACTGATGACAAATCAAAGAGATAAAGTTGTAAACTGCATATAGTTCAAGAAATATGAATTGTACAAAGCAACTCCTAATTTGAGATGTGCTTCGTCCTTTGAAAGCAAAAAAGGAGAAAGTTTTTGAGCTATATTTTGCAGGACAGGCAAAAAGAATTAAATTTGATTCAATTCAAAGTTTTTATATCAGCATCAAATCGTTGCTCACATTCCTCCCAACGAAGACCAACAATAACACACAAATGTTAAAATGGAGTGATTACCATGGCAACAACTGCTAGAGCCCCGATCCTATCCATCCCATTCATTTGGATGTATATACAGGACATATACGGGCATGCTGTCCACAAAGTGTAAATTATAATATCTACAAACATAATAACAAATTTAAGTAACCAAGAGAATCTGGCAGATTGGAAGCGCTCACGGTAAATAACATTTTTGGTGTCTCAATTGCAGATCTTACTTCAATTTCACTAACTGAATGGCC